AAACTATCACGTATTCACAGATAGAGTATTTGTTAATAACATATATATATATAGTGGAAGTAGCTTTTAAATCCATTAAATATGATATTTTTTATTAACATTAATACATATTAAACAAAGGTCCCAAGTTAAAGCTATGTTCTATGATAAATATTAATAACAGGAAACACATTCTACATTGAAATGGTTATGTATTATACAATCACTGACAAACTATATTCATACTTACTATGCTTTATATAGGCACGGACCACTTATCTTTATGTTTAGTGTATTTTATATAGGCACGGACCACCTAACTTTATGTTTAGTGTATTTTATATAGGCACGGACAGCCTAACTTCATGTTTACTGTATTCTATATAGGCACGAACTACTTAACTTTATGTTTAGTGTATTTTATACAGGCACGGACCACCTAACTTTATATCTAGTGTATTTCATATAGGCACGGACAGCCTAACTTCATGTATACTGTATGTTATATAGACACGGGCCACCTAACTTCATGTTCACTGTAGGCAAGGACAGTTTAATTAAAGTTACTGTGTTTTACATAGACACGAATACCCTAACCTCATGTTTACTATGTTTTATGTAGACATGTAGTGACTAGCTTCACGTTTACTATGTTTTGTATAGGCAAGGGCAGCGTAACGTAATATTAATATGTTTTATATATACACAGACAACCTAACTTCGTGTTTAGTGTATTTTATATAGTCACAGACAGCCTAACTTCATTTTTATTATGTTTCATATAAGCTCAAATAGCCTAACTTAATGTTTACTCTTTTTGATATAGGCACAGACAACCTAATTTCATGTTTACTGTATTTCATACAGGCATCGACAACCTAACTTTATGTTTACTGTATTTCATATAGGCACCGACAACCTAACTTTATGTTTACTGTATTTCATATAGGCACTGACAACCTAACTTCATGTTTACTGTATGTCATATAGGCACCGACAACCTAACTTCATGTTTACTGTATTTCATATAGGCACCGACAACCTAACTTCATGTGGTTACAGTATGGTACTTTTGAAAAAAGTGCGTTTGTCTTGTTTGGTTTACTTGGCACATCCTGACCATCTATTCATTCAACTGACTACCTACCTATCTCTTTTTCTCTCTATCCTTCTATCATTTGTTCATATGTAGAGGAAACGTCAAGGTTATTTTCTTATTAAAGATGTTTCAAGAAGGTTTCCTGGATATTTAAAAATGTGTTTCAAAAATAATGAAACCGAATATCTGTGCTGTGGTTATACAGACGATAAACTGATGGAGCATCTAAGAAAAAAAAATCGACATATCACGTGTCATAATCAGCCGTACATGCAACAAATTCCGCCCTAAAGCCTCAGCTATACATTGGTAGTGTATGCTGTATTTTAATCTCCTAACCTAATATTCGTAAGATCGACCTACTCTATCTAAATACGAAGGAAACTATAAAACAATTACGTTGTTAACGGACTAGTTAATGTAATATATACAACATAATTTAAAAATCCAAGCTCTTTGAATAAAACTGACGTTCTTTTAAAACAGCTTACTGATACCGTAAAACAAAAGTGACAAATAACTGAAATGGGCTTTGTGATTTAATACTAGGGATAAGGACGAGGGACAATAAATGATTTTCACCAGATCTGCCTAATGCTATTTGAACGATGAAGGGAGCATATATCTATATGCATACTACAGTAGCAACGTATTTAGTGTCGTTCCAGGCGAATCTTGGTTTTAATGTGGTTCCTCGTGTTCGTAAAAGCATAGGAACTAATCTCATTTCTAGTTGGTCTATATATACGTTGGTCAATTCTTACAATGAGTTTCCCGACATGTCTGTTGAATTTTACGTATTTATTTATTAGGTTCCTCATCGAGAGATCACTCTATTTATGTATACTGTGATATTATCAGCAAATCAAAGATCAATTTCTTTGTTTATCTTTTAATTTTATTTTCTATTAACTCCTTCTTTCTCAGCTATTTTTTGGAAATGAGCTAATAAAAAGCTGTTCGTCTTTTATTTCAGTTTCTGATAGCCTTTTATAATACACGATAACATGCGAATAAATTCAAATAAATAGTTAAAAATACGGCGATAAATAGTTTGCCCGAATTTACTCGGGCAAATATTTTTGAGAAATGGAGGACGCTCGAGTTATCTCTGGCAAATTATGGAAGGGGTTAGAGATATGAAGTCCATGTTAAATAGATAATGTTAAAATGGACGATACTGTTATCAATTTGCTGGAAAA